CTCCCAACGAAAAAATATTTTCCCGCAGGAACTGGCGGAATCACGCTCATTTTTTTTCACCGGCTATAGTACTGTTTATAATGATGTTAACAAGGAAAACTAAATCGAAAGTTACGGCTCACAAGAACGTGGTAAGTGCAATTGTGACGCTGACTTGTTATCAAGATATCCAATTGAACGAAACAACGAAAACGTCGAGACAACAACAAGAAGATGTCATGGTCAGGCTATTCAATTCGGCGGTGTATGCGGGGTAATAACAAGATCAATGGCAAAACTATTTAATAATCGAGATTATACAACGTCAGAGATAATTAAACCTAATAATCCATCAGCCATACACAACTCAATTGATTCAGCTTCCTTTCCTGGGACTAATCAAGGTCCAATAGTACCAAAAACCACCACCGACCAATATCCACCGGCAACGACATCTCCATTTTCATTGGATAAAATCAGAAATGGACAACAAAGTGATGAATACATTCAACAGAAGATGCACGAAATCACTTTAAACCCAAAAACGGATTCGATCATCAAAGATAGCATTGTGTATAAATGTCTGATGAGAAACGGTCATAAAATTCACGTCCCGTATGTGCCAACATCGATGATTCAGCAGCTATTGTTCCATGCTCACGATCATCCGACAGCAGGCCATTTTGGAAGAGATAAGACTTGGAATAATTTGAAAGATAAATGGTATTGGCCAAAAATGTACACCACCATTCAGCATTACATCAGGTCGTGTGAGAACTGTGCCAGATTTAACATCAGAAGAGCAAAACAACCTGGCCAACTACAACCAATTGAAGCACCGGAAGGTGTAATGGAGATGATCGGCATTGATTTTTGTGGACCAACACAAGTAACAGAAGAGGGCAATCGATATATCATTGTTGCCACTGACTATCTATCCAAATTTGTTATTGCAAAAGCAGTACCAGACTGCTCAGCGACGACTGCAGCGAAGTTTCTGGTCAATGAAGTGGCATTCAAATATGGCATCCCCAATCAGATTCTGAGCGACAATGGCTCACATTTTGTGGCCGAAATATTTGAGCACGTAGCCAAATTACTTGGTTGCAATAGAATTTTGGCAACTCCGTACCACCCACAAACAAAGTGGCAAGTAGAAATATTCAACGCCACAATGAAGTCAAAATTAGCTACATTACAATACCAACACGAGAATGATTGGAACAACTGGCTCTCATCAGTGATCTACGCTTATAATAATAGTCAGCATTCAACTACTGATTTTAGCCCTTTCCAGCTGATGTTTGGTAGGAAACCAATCATGCCCTACGAACCCGGCAAACATCATTTTGCCTTGAGAAAGCCGAATGATTATCTTGAACATTTCCACCATCAACTGAAGATCCTACACACAGCAGCACGCCAGAATACCCAGCAACAACAACAAACAATGAAACAACGATACGACCGCAATAGACCCAATATTCCATTCAAAGTTGGCCAACTTGTTTTTGTTCGCAACCCAGGGGCGAGCAAATCAGCATTTGATCAACAGTTCATTGGACCCTTTACTATTATTCAACAGTTGGGTCAACAAACTTTTGAGGTTGAAGACTCATCACAACAAACAAGGCAAGTCCATTCCAACCAACTGAAACTCATGTTTGAATGAAAATAAGCAAAACAACAGCATAATTGAGCATACGCAAAGCCACAATCATCCCACCTCAACTCCCCGAATGTATAAACAAGCTGTCTGGTGGCAACGTAGGCAACAGCGAACAACAACATTCGGAAAGTTAGACTTTTAGTTCGATGGACGGGGACGCCCATCTGGTGGCCTGGGGAGGTGTCAGGGTACACAGCCATTACTTCTCCTTTTCTTCTAGAGCATTCATTATATATATATAGTTCGATCTTTTATATGTATGGTTCGATATCTATTTGTGTATCGTTCTATCTTCTCTGTTTTCTTTATCGATTCGACCTTCTCTGTTCTCCTTACTTTATCTATTCATGTATCGTTCTATCTTCTCTGTTCTCTTTATCGATTCGACATTCTCTGTCACATCACTTTTCTTATCTGTTCATGACGAAAGGACGTTAGTTTTGCGTTCTGTTCTGACTGTATATTTTTCTATTGCAAATTATGAGTCATCCTGATAGTATTAGATTCAGAAGAACAAATATTGCAATTGTTGACAAATTAAATAATTCAGATAATTTAATGGTGTCAAATTTAAGTACCATTGATGATAAACTTGTTAATACCGTGAAGCATACAGTGTCGTCTCCTCAATTTCTTGATTCACTTCAACAATCGCTAGTCTCTGGCCCCTTTATAGCAGAATTATGTAAACAAATCGCGTCGTCACCCGTTTTCGTTGATTTGATAACATCGATGGTATCTTCTACGTTAAAACAACAACAAGAAGAGATTTGTCGGCTACAAAAAACGGTTGATGATTTTGATGAGACAGTAGCTGATCTCAAAGACCAGGTGGATAAGCTGGAATTGAAATGCGACCGACTTGAACAGTATAACAAACGAAAAAATCTAATCATCCACGGAGTACCCGAGACGCAAAATGAAAATACCGACAAAATAGCTGTTGAAGTAGCCAAAATTACCGGTCATATATTAGATGAAAAATTTATTTATTCCTCACATCGCTTACCATCTAAAATGATAAATGCTCCTCGACCGATTGTTGTGAGTTTTTTACGATACTCCGATCGGCAGGCGATAATTAAAAATCGGAGAAAATTGCGTCAATATGAACGATATAAAACTACTTTTATTAATGAACATTTAAATTCGCTGAATAATAATCTTTTTCATCATGCGAGACATAAGTTGATCAAACACGGAGTATATTCTAGAAATGGAAATGTTCTATATATTGATGCACATATGAAAATACATTTATTAACATCGTACTCCATTATTGATCAGTTGGCTCTACGTATTTGACATTAAGTATACGGTTAGTTCATTGCTTTACTACTTATTTCGTTTCATAACTTTTGATGATCGCAGCTGATCTCCAGTCATTCAAAACTTTGCAGCTGAGTTCGGCTTGTTGCTTTTTTATTTCTTCAAAATTTCTTTTTCTATAGTAACGATAAGTGCAAAGTTATTTGGGCGAAATTTCAAAAACACATTGTTATTATACATATCTTTCCCTGTAGTAGAAATTTTTCGCCTCTTTCTGTGATGGTGTGGTGTCAGATGTCTTCTCGTTCGTTTTCTTTTCTTCTACATTCATCATTCATCATTTCAACTAACTTTATTTTTCCTCTCCTATTTATTTTGCATGCGTAAGGAGTTAGGCAGGCTCATAGAGTATATCAGTCCAGAATTAATTGATGATCATGGTTAGCACGAATAAAAAACAAACTGCTGGCGTGTCATCTCCAATGGAGATACTTGTACTCAACTTGAGAAGTATAACAGCTAAGGCAAACAAAGATCCTTCTAGTCATGTAACAAAATTTGACCTTCTAACTGCACTGTGCAATCAATCAAAACCTTCTTTCATAGCGATCACAGAGACTTGGCTTGATTCTACAATTCCAGACGCTGACATTTCTATTACCGGATATAACATTGAACGTTTAGATAGAGATCGAGAAGGAGGAGGATGTATGCTTTATTTTCAGGAGCATCTAACTGTAAAACGATTAACACATCTAGAAAATAAACATTTTG